ATAAAATCATAGAAATACTTTAAGGAGCACTTGATGAACTTGCTCTAATTGACCCAAAACAACCTTAGTAAATTTGTGAATTTTAAAGATACTCATTTAAGTGATAATTCTGAACTTTTAAACTCCTTTTTAAATTCAGCTTATAATCTTACTGTGTAGACATAATACTCATGTCATTTCACTTCCTTGAGGTCAAGCACAGTATCTTTCTTGAAGAATAATTTTAGCTATACAAGATGATAAGATTCCATCTCTTCGATGTTTTTTTCTACTTATTTTTGAGACATAGCAGGGATGTCTTGTTAGGGGCCTGCAGGTTCCACCACAACCCCCAAGTGTAGAAATAAAGGAAAATTTTAATTTCCTTCAGGGGAAATTTCAGGCACCTAGCTAGCCCTGAAAAGTAAATAAGCAACTTGATAAACAAGAAAGTAATAGTAGCTTCAAACAATAGCCAAGGAATCTAGCATTTTTAGCAGGGGTGAATCTACATGAGCCTGCAGTAACATCAATTCTTTCCTCAGAAGAAATAATTTAACCAAGGGTCATAAGATACAGTGAGAGATCAAGGCAAGTTTTAGAGCAGGAGTAAAAGTTTATTAAAAAGTTTTAGAGCAGGAATGAAAGGAAGTAAAGTACACTTGAAGGATAGCCAAGCAGGTACTTGAAAGATTCAAGTGTACTGTTTGACCTTTGGCTTGGGGCTTTATACACTGGCTGCCATGTTTTCATGGTTTGTGTTTCTTCTTCCCTGATGTTTCCTTGGACAGGTTGTCTGCATGCACAGTGTCCTACCAACACTTAGGAGGAGCCACATGCACACTGAGTTTATTGAAGTTGTGCACAAGCTCACTTGAGGCACCTCTCTTACCAGCCGTGCATTCCTAAAGGAAGGTCATATAACAGTCAAACTTTGCTATTTTGCCTCTTAGGGCACATGCTTGAGCCCCCTCACCCAACTTTTGAAATCGTGTTGGGAAGCTGCTGATCACCAGCTTCAACTGTTTTCTATCTACTAGGAGATTGTCTTTCCCTGGCTCTGGCTGTGGCCAATTATGAGACAGTTTAACAAACACCTGACCATCACCTGATAGTGCCTGTCATTCTTAGTGAGGGATAGCAGCTCTCCTGCCCTGCTCATGCCTGACTACCTACCTACTGTAATAGCATCACAATATGTTTGAATCCCCTACAGAAATTAAAGATAACATCTTAAAATTTGTCTCTGTGTTGTGGTTAAAAATCCCAGAACCCTACCAAATCTATCCACTGGCACATAGACCTGAGATAAGGGGAACCTGAAGACTGAATTCTGACCTCCATTCATTGTTCTTAATTTCTTCTTGTGGGGTCTGGAGGGAGTCACACCCAGGAGCCAAAGCTAACATTGTTTTCTCTAGACCCCAAATCTTTAAACAGTTTTTCTTCCTTAAGCAACTGCCATTCAGAAAATCTTTGAATCCACCTATGACCCCTGTGAGCCTCTGTTCTAGATTTTCTGCCCTGTTAAGCAAAAGCAATATGTAACCTCTATGTATAGTTTTACAATTTTGCCTATATCTTCTGCTTTCATGAAATTTAATTCTGCCTTTAAAAACTCTTACTTGCTAGAAATCAGAGAGGTTGGGACTTAAGCATTAGCTCTGCCTGATTCTCCTTGCTTGGTGTCCTGCATAGGAGGATCAGGCAGCTAGCGCTTAAGTCCCAGCCTCCCCAATGGCTTGGAGGTAACCTCAGTATGGATATCTGATCTTATTGCACTGGGCAGGCAGATTACAGTTCAATTTAATACCATTTGTGTTGATATACACTTTTTAAATAGATAACCCTTTACTTTTTAAATTATAATTTCAAGTTAGTTTTAGAATAAATCAAGGGACTCAAATGACTTCTCCAATTAATCATAGTATATTTTCCTAGTATATGTTGATAATTAGCTCATGTTTTTTATTCATTTTAATTTTTTCAGATTAGTGATTTAACTCTTTCCTTTCGAGCGGTAATAAATGACTGTATGGCAAGATTTCCTAAACTTTGTTCAATGGGCTAGCAGTATGTGTTTCCCTGAAAAAGAGACACATATCATGACAGAGTTAAACAGTTCTTTTGCACAGGACTACTTAAGGCATTTAGGGTGTTTCTGAGTATTTTGGGGACAGCCGTAATACATGACATGCAATTCTTCTCTTATTTTCTTGGAAAATAAGTTAATATTTTGGGGAACACTAATGTACCAGGAAATAGTCAGCTCATTACCAAGAATTCATAAAGCAATATGTCTCTTTTTACTTTATTTAATATTGTAGTGTGTTTTTAATCTGTTTGGTTTACTTCTGGTTTTGGTACAAAGTCACTGATGATCTAAAATAACATAGGAGAGTTCCAATAAAATAGAACTGATATGGATCATTAATGCTCACTTTTTTTTGGTTTACTTAAGTCCTGGTAGTTTATCTACATACTTAGTTTTCTTACGTTATCACAATTCTTTTAAAGTTTGGGAAAGGTCCAGGACATATGTGAAACAATAGTAAATACATTAAACTTTACTAGGTAGATATAGTACCAATGTATAAGAGTCATAGCTTTAGAAATTACTCAGTTTCATTTAGAACTTAAAATCTAATGGACTAATGATTTTGTCAAATGGAGGAGATTACACAGTGGTGGATTAATTAGACCAAAACTCATACAAGTTGTGTTCTTACTTTAGCAGTCAATAAATGTCTCCTTTGGGTGCTTTTATGGAACTACCTTTGATAGTCTTTTTGTATTCTCTCTTCTTTACATTTTCATTCAGAGAAATTTATTTTGAATAATTGCTGCTTCTGCTTTAAATTTTGTTTATGTGCTCATTTTAGTCTTTGAACATCTGTGAGAATTTTTTTTTTAATTCTGTAAATCATTTGGGTTTACTGCAACATTTCAAGTCACCTAATCTCACCCAAAGTTTTTAGAAGAGAAATGTAAAATACTTGCTAGGTTAGGTCATGTGCCTACCACTTCCTCCACTGTCATCTTTTTTTTTTTTTTTTTTTTTGGGGGAGGGGAGCAGGCAGTTAACTGTGATTGCTACTAAATTTATGTTTCTTTTACAATAACCATTCTAAGTCATAATGTGCTGCATAAACATGTTCTAAAAAATAACACTTTGCTAGTATTGAAGTGTGGGGAGTGAGGTATGATGAACTCCTATGGTATTAAAAATTTTAAAATGTTCCATAAAAAGACTCAAAGAGTGTACTGCTCTCCCTACTATATACTTTTTATAAAAAATAAATTGTTAACCATTACATCAGAATAGTGATGATTTAAGTTGCTGAATTATTTAAAAAGCTGTTTTGACTATTTTTGTCTCAGCTGACATCTTTCTAAATCAACAATGAACATAAATGGTGAATTTAAATGCTCTAAAATTATTAAAAATTCTTTATGATTTCTTCTAGAAGAATAAGCAAAAACATTTTTGGTGAAGTGAAAAAATGATACAGGACTTTGTCTCAACAGATACCAAATCCTACTAGAAGAAAAAAAAAATCTATATATGTATATTAAAATGTGTCATAGAAAAAGAGAATGTCATCAAACTAAACAATAGGGTCCACCAGCTACTGGGAGGCTGAGGCAGAAGAATTGCTTGAACCTAGGAGGTGGAGGTTACAATAAGCCGAGATTGTGCCATTGCACTCCAGCCTGGATGACAAGAAGAGCAAAACTTCATCTCAAAAAAAAAAATACCAAAAACAGACCCATGTTTAAAAATGAGGCAAACAGAAAAAGAGTTTTGATGAGGATGTGAAGAAATTGGGACTCTCATGCACTACTGTTGGATACGAAAAATTACAGCTGCTGTGGAAATCAGTTTGGTGGTTCCTCAATAAGTTAAACAGAATTAACATATGAGCCAGCAGTTTGACTCCTAGAAATAGATTCAAAAGAACTGAAAACAGATATTCAACCAAAAGGTTGTAGAGAGATGCTCATGGCAGTGCTATTCACAATAGCCAGAAGGTGGAAATAACTTATCCATCAACTGATGTGTGGGTAAACAAAATGTGGCCTATTTATACAACGGACTAATATTCAGTGATTCAAAGAAAGGAAGTACTGATTCATGCTTCTACATGGATGAACCCTGATGAAAACATTATGCTAAGTGAAAGCAGCCAGACACACAAGCTGTCACATTCGGTTGTATGATTCCATCTATGGGAAATCTCTAAAACAGGCAAACATCTATGGACAGAAAGCAGATTGATTAGTGGTTGAGGGACTACTGAGAACTTGCTTATGTGGTGTGGTGGGGGTGGGGGTGCAGGGGTGGTAGCGGTGCTGTGGAAGGAGGAGTGTGGGAAGTGACTGCTTATAGCTACAAGGGTTTCGGTTTCTTTTCTGGGTGTTGAAAATGTTTTGGAACTAGGCGATTGTGATGGATCTGCAACATTGTGAAGGAGCGGTATTGATGAACCTCCCCTCTGCCAGCCCACAGTGTTCCCACAGTGTTCTCATCCAGTAGAAAGGGAGAGTTCCCACTGGCAAAGAGAGGGTCATCAGCAGGATTCCCCATGCCCCGCCCCACTCCACCTCCACCCTCACGGCCCTCCAGCCACTTCTAGGACCAGGCCTGCTCCCTTGGGGCCAGTGGGAAATCTATGAGGTCACCTGATGGGCGTTTCCCCAGTGAGGCTGTCACCACGTGCGCGCTAGGCCGTTACCACCTGCGCGCTAGGCCGTTACCACCTGCGTGCTAGGCTGTTACCACCTGCGCCCTAGGCCGTTACCACGTGCGCGCTAGGCCGTTACCACCTGCGAGCTAGGCCGTTGCCAGGTGATGATGTGGTGGCACGAGGATGTGCATGGCCATGGGACTGGGCTCCCCAGCCAATGAGGGGCTTGGCCCTGGTCGCTAGGATACACAGTACCGGACGCCGTAACGGTCATCTTGAGAGGCATCTTGTGCTAGAGCAAGCCGAGCTGAGACAGGGCACCCAATACCCAGCATGTCGGAGACGAGGAGCCGTAGAGGGTCCTCTGGTGCTGGCCGCCGGGGCCATCCCCGCTGTCGCAGCGCCCGAGCGGGACTTCTGTTTTCGGTTGGGCAGATTGAGCGCAGTCTACGGGAACGCCACTACGCTCAGAGCCTGAGTCACAACGCGCCCGTCTACCTCACTGCGGTGATGGAGTATCTGACGACCCAGATCCTGGAGCTGGCGGCCAAGGAGGCCCAAAACAACGGAGAGAGGACCATCACTCCACGCCTGCTGGACATGGCCGTTCACAGTAACGAGTTGCTGAGCACCCTCTTTCACACAACAATCATCTCTCAGGTGGCTCCCGGCCCGAACTAGCTGCTGACGACGCCAGACTCCGGGGACCTGGCAGGTCCGCTCATCCACCCACCTGGCCCCCAAACCCCCAGCCCCAAACCTCCCACCCGCCAGAAACCACCACCCCACTGCCCCAAACCACCAACACCGCCCCCCCCACCGGCCCTGAAGTCTTGGGCCTTCATTAATTCTGTCAATAAAGTGTTTATTGGAATCAAAAAAAAAAAAAAAAAAAAAAAATGCAGACTCATGTTTATTTAGTATTTAAATTTGGAAACTTGGACTATTTTAAACAACTTCTTGACACATCTTAATATTCATTTGGGAAAGTAAATCAGATGCTTATATACCTAAAAACAATTCCAGGTGTTTTATTGTGTAGAGTTTTAAAAAGCTGCAACACATACATGCACACTTGCACACAAAGCTCATGAGCTTCAAAAAGTTCATGGAAAATGTGTATTATGAAAAAGCTATGCAGGCATTTCAATTTTCTTTGCACCGAAATAAACTTATATTAACTTGTTATAACATATCTGATCAATATCTAGTGTGAGTCACTAGGAAGAATAAACATCAGTTTGAAAAGAGCTCCTATCACACCAACACAAATTCTGCTAAAACTGAAGCAAGAAGAAACATCAAATTTTTGCTGAAGACTAGGCAAGGGAGCTCACAGCTGTAATCCAGCATTTTGGAAGCTGAATGGGAGGGATTATTTTGAACATTCTTATTCAAAGTTTTTTGGGACTACGTTTTCATTACTTCCAAGTAAATACCTAAAAGTGAAATTGTTGGATTATGTGGTATGTGTCTGCTTAATTTCCTAATAAATAGTTTTACAAAGTAGTTTTACCATTTTATACTCCTAGTAACAATTCATGAGAATTCTACTTGATCCACATCCTCACAAACAACTGAGATTTGTGAAACATTTAAATTTCAGCTATTTTAATAATCGTATAGAGATATCTCATTATAATTTAATTTTAATTTCCCTTATAACTAATGATGTTGAACATTTTTACGTTCTTGTTGACCATTAACATACTCTGTGTGAGATAGATATGGAAGTTTCTATCTTTTATTGCATTTTTTCTTAATTATTGAGTTGTATGCATACTTTATATTACTAGCTAAAACACTTGTCAAATGTGTGCTTACAGATATTTTCTCCCATTCTGTGACTTGTCCTGGTATTTTTTAAAGGTCCCCATATTAGTCCAGGTTCTCTAGAGAAACACAACCTATAGAATATATATGAAGAAATTTATTATATATAAGAATAGATTAAAAGATTTATAATAAAGAATTTGCTTACACAGTTATGGTAAATGAAAAGTTCCAAGATCTGCAGTCTGAAAGCATGAGAACCAGAAAAGCCAATAAAGTCAGTTTGGGTCTTTGTTTGAAGGCCTGAGATTTAAGAAAGCCAAATGATGTAATCACTTGTCCAAGTCTGACGACAAGAGAAGACTCAGGTCCCAACTGGAAGATTTTCAGGTAGAGCAAACAAATTTACTCTTGCTCACTCTTTTGTTCAATTCAGGCCTTGAAAGGATTGGATGAGACCTACCCACATTGGGGAGGTAAATCTGTTTCGCTCAGCATACCAATTCAAATGTTATTCTCATCCTGAAACACCCTCACTAATATGAGAATATTTAACCAAATATTTGGGCGCTCCATTACCCAGTCAAGTTAACAAATAAAATCATCATAGCAGTTTTAGCTGAACACAGATTTTAAAAAGAAGATAAAGTCTAATTTATCATTTTTCTAAAAAAATGTAATTAATGCTGTTCATGTACTTTCATCTTTCTTTAACCCATGGTAATGAGGATATTGTTATAAATTCTTCTAGATATTTTAAGTTTCCAACTTTTATGTTTATGTCTGCAATCCATCTTACATTAATATGGTGCATGGTGTTAGTTGGAGGTTTTAGTTGACTAGGCCTGCCATAGCAAATTAGCACAATTAGATGCCATGTCTCCAAAGAACAGAAATGTAATCCCTCACAGTTTTAGAGACCAGAAGTTCCAAATCATGGTTTCAACAGATCCATGCTCTCTGTAAAGGCTGTAGTGGAAGATACTTCCTTGCCTTGTTTTAATTTCTGTTGGTTGGCAGCAATCTTTGATTTTCCTTGGCTTGTAGTCGTATCACTACAATCTCTCTCTTTATCGTCATATGGTATTCTCTCTGTGTGGCTATGCGTTTCCTCCCTTCTTTTTACAAGAACATTAGTCATATTGTATTTAGGACACACTAATCCTAATCCAGTATGACCTTAACTGAGTATATCTTTAAACATTATATTTCTAAACAAAGTCACATTTTAAGGTTCTGAATAAACAAAAATTTGAGAGGTACACCATTCAACACATTATAGAGCCCGATAATGGACCCATGTTGTTTTCTTAATATGTTTATCCTATTGTTGCAACACTATTTTTTGGCAGGATTTTCTTCCCAACTGTCCCACGCCCATTTAATTATCATAATATCTTTGTCAAAAACATTGACTATATATGTGAAGGCTTATTATTGTTATTATTTTTAAATTAGTAAAATAATAATAAAATGTTAAATTTTTAAATCCATTTTCAAATCTTACATAAATATCACATTTTCTTGATTATGCCAGTTTTATACTAAGGTTCAAAATCCGTTAATATGAATCTTCCAATGTTTTTCTTTATTTTAGAAAAAAATACATTCTGAATTTTCTAGAGCTTTTGAATTTTAATACAAATTATGAAATTATTTTGGCAATTCTGACCCTTTAAAAATAACTTGTTAGGACAATAATTGATAAGCCTTTAATCTATAGGATAATTTCAGGAGAATATTTTAATAAAGATGAATTTCCAAATCATGAATCTGGAGTAGCTCTCTACCTTTTTACCTCAACAATATTTTGTAGTTTTCAATGTGAAGAAGCTCTCACATAATTTTGCTAAGTTTATTTCTAAATATTTCCATTTTTAGTCTATTATTTATTGAAGTTTAAAATTCCATTTTCAAATTAGACTAGAAACTGTATAATGCAACAGATATTTGTGTATTGATCTGTTATCTTTCTTTCTTACAAATTTACTCATTAGGTGTATTCGGGTTTTGAATAATGGCACGTTCTAGGATTGCCAATGAAACATTCAACAGAACTTACTAGAGGAGACATCTCTGTGTTTTTCCTGTTTCTAGGAGAGCATTCATTGAGTCTTTTAGAATTAAGTATGATGGTAGCTCTGTTTTCATGATGACACTTTATTACGTTAAATAAGTTTCTTCTATTCCTAATTTTTCTGAGAGATTTTATCATAATTGTAAGGTAAATTCTAACAAATACATCTCCATTTTATGAGATAATCATCTGATGTTACTCTTATTAATGTGATGAATAAAATTATTGATTTTCAAATATAAAATCATTATTGTATTCCTAATGTAAAACTCACTTTTCTAAACTCCTTACATTTTGATGGATTTGGTTTACTAATATTCTATTAAGAGTATTTGCATCACTGTTCATGAAGAATATTTATCTGACTACACCCAATGCATCAAGGGGCTTTTATCTCCAGAGCATTGAGGATATAGAGCAATTAACGGATCTTGTGAGCAGAGGTCACCTTCCTTCTCAGAGATCTGTGCATAAGCCCTCTTTACAAGGCCCTCATGCAGTCTCCATATTGAGAACGCATTTGTGGGACCAGAGGAGTATTGTCTGCTCTGCAACCACCCCAAGGTGTTCCCAGTGTTACTGTGCTCTCGGATGGTCTTTACCTTAGGCCTCCTGTTGCCGCTTGATTTCTAATTAACTGCACCAATAATATAGTTCAGTTCGGTGTATAAACTTCTCTAGATACTCTTTCCACAGTGGTTCACAGGGCTTTGTTCTTCCTTCCTGGATTATTTTGACTATGGATAGCTTATTTTCAAGAGTTCATTGCCATTTTAATCCTGGTCAAGATCACTTCTCCAAAATCTTTCCAAATCAATTCTATTTTGCTGCTTTTCTTTAATTTTCTAAAAGCCACAGATTCTAGATTTTCAATCAGCACACACTCTCACCAGAAGTTGAACCAATACAGGTAGAAAAAGAGAGCTCCCTGAATTATGTTTTTAACTAATCATATTTTTTAAGCTTATCAATATAAGTATTTTTAAAGGTTATATTTTTAAAAGTCATAACAATGATTGTTCTTGTTTTCTCTCATAGTATAGATTGTCATGGGATAAATCGTGGACCCTAACTTCTATTTTTCCAAATAAATAAGTAGAACATGTTATTGGGATTATATCATTTAATAGTAATTTTCTTGAAGAAGAAAGAACTTTGTCTGCCAAAGTTTTTTGTTAGTACTCAAACTGAGGTAGAAACAGAAGCAGGTTGGGTCATTGGGATGACTCGGGTTGTGTTCCTGTAGGTTTGAAGTGGGCCCTCCTGCCTTTTGAGAGGGGAAACTGACTGTTTTGAACACATATCCTGAATTAGTTGGGTTGTTTTGTATTGAAGACCCAAAAGAGTCTTGGAAGGAACTACTAGCTTCATCATGAATGTTTGCCTATCACCAATGTGAGCTCACAGGCAAGACTTCTTCAACTGGAGTTCAGCCTGTAATTTTCCTGTCTGTTATTCATTTGTTCTGAGTTACTTTGGATTTTATAATTTAGCCAAATAAAGGCAATATGGTTTTACCCAAAAATAAAATAAATAAAATAAAAAATAAATACTTTCAAAAGAATATTTTTTCTTTTTTGTCGGCACTATATTTATTTTATTTTATATTTTTTATTTTTCCATAGTTTATTGGGGTACAGGTGGTGTTTGGTTACATGAGTAAGTTCTTCAATGGCGATAGTATAGCATAGTTTGGAATCAGGTAGTGTGATGCCTCCAGAATTTTTTTTTTTTGCTTGTTCTTGCTTTGGCTATGTGGGTTCTGTTTTGGTTCCATATGAACTTTAGAATTTTTTTTTTCTATTTCTGTGAAGAATGATGGTGGTATTTT